TGAAAAGGAGGCAGTGTTGTGCTTAAGGACTTCAGGGTAGAATTCTTTCTTCACACACCAAATACTAAAAAAAAAAGGGTAATGAATTCCATTTTACCCATATGAATGGGAAAATTTAGGTAGAGAGAGACTGCATTAACTGAATCATGATTAAAGTCCTGGGAGAGTCCCCAAGCCAATCTTTGCTTTATGAGGGGAAATATCTATCATCAGTCTCATCCTTGGTTATCTGATCCAAAGTTCATTCCATTAACCCAAGTTACTGAAGTATATCAAAATAGACTGGCTATTTTGATATACTTCAAAATATATCAAATGAGGTATCCTCCAATACCTCATTTCTATGGAAGCAGATAAAAAAATTGATAGAATAAGAAAATGAAATGGCTGAAATGGGAAAACAATTATGGAAAAGAGAATGGAGCAAAATGCCATGAAACGGGATCTTGGCTGGCTGGCTGGCATTCTTCCTTGGGACTCTTGCCACTCCCTTCCCCTTTTTGCAGGCTATAATTTAGGGAGAAGCAATGGCACAGGAGGAAAGATTTCTACCTGACATCTCAGGTGGCTGGATTGGGTATCTTCATTGGAACTATTATCAAATGTGGAAGCTGGTGTTTGAATTTAGAAAGGCTTATGCCCATCACCATTTGGAAAGGACCACTCTTGTCAGTGACCAGCCGCATTTCCTATCATTTCTAAGGATAGGAGGGGTCATATGAAACCCTATTTTCTCTTTTTTCCCTTTCTTTCTTTCTTTCTTTCTTTCTTTCTTTCTTTCTTTCTTTCTTTCTTTCTTTCTTTCTTTCTCTCTCTCTCTCTCTCTCTCTCTCTCTCTCTCTCTCTCTCTCTTTCTCTCCCTCCCTCCATGCAGAAAGCAAACCTTCCTTTAGATTTTCTCTGCCAGCCACCAAAGTTATTTTAAGAAGACTAGTTGGACTTTACATACTTACTTTGTTTGTCTATTCCCTGCCTTTTTAGGTCATTACAAGTCCTAAAATACTCTCATACTCTCACCCAGTGCATCAGATCCCTCAGAGGAGGTAATTGAAAGGGACAGTGAGGGTATATGTAAATGTGTAGGTAAACGAATAAGTACAATGCATAAGTATGAGTATTCAAGAACAGGATTTTAAACCATCCTGCTCTTTCCTTCCCATGCATTTTGTGAAGAAGCACTAACTACATCTGTATCAACATGTCAAAGACAGTGCGTTTGTCTCCTCTCCTCTCCTCTCCTCTCCTCTCCTCTCCTCTCCTCTCCCCTCTCCTTTCCTTTCTCTTTGCAGATTTACCTCTGCCTCCGGAACACTCCCCTCTTGATTCGCTTGCAACCTCTTCTCTTTCCTTCCGCAAAAGTTGCTCTGGCGCTCGCTGCTCTCCCTCCCTCTGCTTCACCGACGCCCCCAAGCCAAAAGAAGCGCTGGGGAGGGGGGGAGAGGTCGTGAGGAGGAAGCTCCTTAGATACGCTGGGTCGAGAGTGGATTTGAGATGACAAGGGGCCGCGGCTTTTCCTGAGCAGCTGCTTGGCTGCGTCTGCCAGCGGTACCCACGGATCGCCCGAGCACCTCCCCCCCCCCCACAGCCCTCCAGCCAGCTCGGGAAGAGGCGCCAGGAAGGAAAGCTGACAAGAAGGTGGTGCCAACGCCAAGCTGGTGGGAAGATGAAAGGATGGAAGGAAAGGCTTGCAGAAGCCCATCGCGATCCATCTGCTATGCCCATCAGTCTAAGGGCACCCTCAGCCCCCGACCCCCTTCAATATACATCTGCTCAGCGCTAACCCATCCTGGGGGGCGGGGGGAGTCTTCCTGGGAAACACCCCTGTTGGCTTCCCTGCCACGGTTCTAGCTTGGGTTTATTGTACGAATCCAAATGTATTCAATAAATAACCCGTGGCATAATGAAGTCAGTACATCCATGAACCAAATAGCAGTCTTGTTCCCTCAGTCCAGAAAATTGGGTCACTCGGGCATTAGCCACATTTCAGTTAAGCATGCCTACGTGCGACCCTCGGAGCCAGCCATTGTGAGTGCCCGTCTTTCTTCGGCAGCACATTCGCTCTACTCCAAGGAAAGGCGCGTGAAGATGGTCCCATCCCACATTGATAAGGAATGGAGCTCCATATGGATGCCCATGAGCCAAGCTGCCTAGGATCGAAGTCATAGAGCGCCCAGGGCTTTGATGAGAGGACACGGAGCACTTTAGACATTAAAAAAAGGGGATCCGTTTTCAGTAGAACTGTTCCCATTGGTTCCACAGCTCAGGACTGCGTTCTAGGAGTCTAACATTTTGCTTCCTAAATTAGAAAGATGTGCTGCTGGATTTCCACAGGGCTGTGATAAATCCGCTGAATTCAATTCCCTTTGCTTCCAGGGGAACTTGCATAAAAGAGAATTGCTAGCAGACGGATCCCTTATAATCCGGGAGGGATCCAGATAGGGCACACTATCTGGAGATGAACTGTGAAGGTCGACAGGACGGTCTCTTATTCCCAAATATTATATTAGTTTCCACCAAAATTTTGAACTGCTCAAAAACTTGTTTCTCGAGTTTCAAAAAAATAAAAACAATTAATGTAAACTTAGATCTAAGCCTAGCTTCGATCCGTTCTATGCAAGTAGGAAGAGTGAAATCAGCAACCCGATTTTGTTTTTTTGCAAAAGAAAAAGAAACATGCGAATAAAGTGGAATTTCAGATTAGGCAAGTAAGTATGGGGGATCAAGTTTAGCTTTTTGTATTTTTGTGTTTATCTGTTCTTGTGAGACTTGAGAATCATCCATTGCAATTGATTCCAGATATGAGACTCCATGACATTTCAGTCAAGGGCTACATGGAAATAAATCTTTGCTGAAAACTCTGGATTTGAATCCAGGTCCATCTGAAAATAGCCAGGAACACATTAAACATTGTGAGATCGCCTGCAATCTATTCGATTCAGACAAACCCATTAAGAATTTTTTTGGGGAGGGCAATAACTTTCTCTCTTGAGAGTTCCCTGTCTTCCTTCAGGGGATTCTGAAAACTTTTTTCAGCACCATGGATAATTGGTTCTTGTAGTTGGCTGCCCTACCTGCAGCTGGAATTATGTCACTAAATTCCTTATTTTAGGCACTATTTCATGTGCCTATTCCCTTGATTTTAAAGACTTTCACAAGAAGCTCACCTTATTTTGATAAAATTTAATATATTTAAGACCAGTTCTCACACTCTTGGAAATCTGCAAAGTGTCAATAAAAATGATTGAGCTAAATTTCATTTCAAGGGTTTTGATTGCTTTTTCACCAGTTCAAATCTCACCAACTTCTTGATTATTTTATTTATTTCTTGCCTTGCACACAATTTGTTTCCTTTTATTATTATTTTCAGCCTGCCAATATCCATAACATGCAAATCTGACTTTAAAAACTAGCCTCCATGTACTTTAGCTACAGGTTAGGTTCAGTTTGCTTTAAAAAAAATCGGACATCGATTTTAAAGAATCTAATTTCAGATTAATTCATGATATCAATGAAATTTAACATTGTTTCTCCCAAGTTGGTCCTGTCCACAGTAGGAAGGCTTTCAAACAATTCATTCCGGTTTTAACAGACTTTATGCTGTCCCAAAGAGCGTGAGGGATTTTCCACCAGCCCACCGCCTCCAATTCTCAATATAAGCCCAGATCCAGTCGATTCTAGACGTGGCTAAACTTCTAGAATCACTTTGGAACCTCCGACACTAACTCAATTCAAACACATGATTTCCCTTGATTTCCAAAGCTTTTAGGAAGGAGATCGAATCCGCCCAAAGGAAAGAAAGGGGCGTCCCATCCTGAGCGCCTGATCGGACGTCGCAGGAAACAAAAAGAAAGGACCAGACGGGTCTTTCGACCAGCTTCTAACACCACAAGGCTCTAACTTGGGGATGGAAATCCGTCTACTTCCAGTCATCTCGGGAGCGGCGCCCTCCAGCGTCGTTTCCTCCAATGTAATTGAATTGGCTAATAATGGAATCGTTTCTACTTCGGTTTGATCCAGTGGTGAAATCCTATTTTTTTTTTACTACCGGTTCTGTGGGCGTGGCTTGGTGAGCGTGGTATGGTTTGGTGGGCGTGACAGGGGAAGGATACTGCAAAATCCCCATTCCCTCCCCACTCCTGGGGGAAGGATGTTGCAAAATCCCCATTCCCTCCCCACTCCTGGGGGAAAGATATTGCAAAATCTCCATTCCCACCCCACTCTGGGGCCAGCCAGAGGTGGTATTTGCCGGTTCTCCGAACTCCTAAAAATTTCCGCTACCGATTCTCCAGAACCTGTCAGAACCTGCTGGATTTCACCCCTGCTTTGATCACTCTTGCATCTCCCTCTTCGCTTTGGCCCGATCCCCAAGAAGATTGGACCCCCATCTACATTTCAGAGGCTCAGCCAGTAAGACAAGACGCTCCCGCCTCAACCTCAGCCGTCCACTGTCTTACTGGCTGAGCCTCTGAAGTTTTTAAAGTCAGATTTGTGTGTTACGGATAATTGAACTTGTCGGGTTTCAATTCCCATCATTCTTAACCAAGCCCGACATTGGAAAGGCGGCTCTTGAAAACCCAAAATAATCAGAGAGCACCGGATACAAGTAGTGGCTTTTCTCGTCCGAATAGTGCTAAAAATCTCGAGCAACTTTTCAGCACCCAAGGATGCACTAAGCGCACACCCGACGGCACAGGGACAGCAGCTCACCGCGGCTAAGGCGGGGGTTTTTTCAATGAGAGGCGTTAGGGCGCTTTCCAACCTCCTTCTCCTCCTCAGCACGCTCCTCCCCCCCCTCGGATTCCCGAGGGGCTGGGAAAGATCCAAAGGCAGGCGAAGGGACGCTGACGCGCGCAGAGCCTAGTTTGCCCTCGCCGCGCCCCTACGCGGGCTGCTCATTTTTGCGCGCCCCCCCTCTTGCCCCGCGCAGATGGTTTGCCCCACTCTCCCTGGCACATATATATACCCCCTGGTCAAAGAACCCCCGCAAGCCGTCGTGGAGCTCCTCTTAGGAGGGGGCGCCTTCTGGCTGGCGCCCGTCTCTGGCGTCCCAGGGTTGGGCCATGCCTACAGGCTCCCCAAGTAGAGTGCCGGAGCCTCGGATGGATCTGAGGGAGCTGCAGCTGGAGTACCGGACGGCGCCGGCGCCGCCCCGCTCTAAGCGGCGTCCCCGAGGTGAAACTTGCCCTTCGCTGGATAATTCCTCCGCTGCTGAAGAGGAAGAAGAGGACGAGGACGAGGACGAAGACGAAGAAGACGCGGAGGACGAGGAAGACGAGGAGGCGGTGGCGAGCAAAAAGAAACGCACGAAGGGAGGCTCCGGAGCCGGAGAAGGCGGCAGGGTTAAAAAGCAACCGCCGGCGGCGAGTCGCAGCGCCTCCGGTTCGACGCCGGAGTGCAAGCAATCGCAGCGCAACGCGGCCAACGCGCGCGAGCGAGCCCGCATGCGCGTCCTGAGCAAAGCCTTCTCGCGCCTGAAAACCAGCCTGCCTTGGGTGCCTCCGGACACCAAGCTCTCCAAGCTGGATACGTTGCGCCTGGCCTCCAGCTACATCGCCCACCTGCGGCAGTTGCTGCAAGAAGACTGCTACGACAAGGGCTACGTGCACCCCGTCAACCTGGTAAGTGGACTCGTCGGGACCCTTTCAGAAGGCGGGCTTTTTTTTTTTTTTAATTTGATTTATATGCCGCCCTTCTCCGAAGACTCAGGGCGGCTTACAATGTGCTCAGCAATAGCCTTCATCCTTTTGTATATTTATACAAAGTCAGCTTATTGCCCCCACAACTGGGTCCTCAATTTACCTACCTTAGAAAGGATGGAAGGCTGAGTCGACCTTGAGCCTTGGCGAGATTCGAACCCTGCAGTAATTGCAGGCAGCTGGTCTTAATAACCAGCTTAATAACAGGGTGCCTTAAACCCCTGTACTAACCAAGGCTCTTCTGGTCAGAGCTTGACTTCAGTCCCACTTGAAAGGCACGACAGGGTGTGCTTTCCGGACACGGGCAGCAGGTCTCTGCAGTTCTCCTGCAACATACCTTAGGTTGGCCAGTCTTAGAGCATCTGTTTCTATATAAATACGTTTAAAAAAAAAAAAAGTTCAAGTTAATATTACTCTAGATAAGAGATATAGGAGACAGGAGAATACGGCAGGGTAACAGGAGTGTCTCTGTAAGAGTAATGCTTTCGTTAGTCAATAAGGAATCTAAAATTTGGGAGGATACAGTATGTATGTAGAAAAGAGCCTTGGTGGCGCAGCAGACTAAAGTGCTGTTAAATAGCACCAGCTGCCTGCAATTACTGCAAGTTCAAATCTCACCAGGTTCAAGGTTGTCTCAGCCTTCCATCCTTTCGAGGTAGGTAAAATGAGGACCTGGATTGTGGGGGAAATAAGCTGACTTTGTATAAAAAGAACGCTGCTTGTGGGGGGGAAGCCCTACTAAGTAGGTATATACAAAAGTATGAAGGCTATTGCTTAACGCATTGTAAGCCGTCCTGAGTCTCCGGAGAAGAGCGGCATATAAATTGAACCAATAAATAAATAAGTAAGTAAGTAAGTACAGTATACCAGGGGTCTCCAACCTTGGCAACTTTAAGTCTGGAGGACTTCAACTCCCAGAATTCCCCAGCCAGCAAAGCAAAATTCCCCAGCCAACAAAGCAAAGCTGGCTGGGGAAATCTGGGAGTTGAAGTCCTCCAGACTTAAAGTTGCCAAGGTTGGAGACCCCCGCAGTATACAATATGAGTATTTTCTATACAGTATGCATACTCTGTAGAGTACTTATCTCATATTCTGTAGAGTATGTATGTGGCTCTCCCCTCCTTAGAAACATTCGTCCTGCTTTGGCCCAAATACAAGCAATGTTTAGTAAACTAATATCTGACTTAAAAGAGACATTCAAGAATTTGCAAGATTAATCAGTGAATGGTTCATTCACTGGCTCTCTTAAGTTCTCAATAAAGCTCTGGTTTGTGGTTAGAGACACCATTGGTTTTCTCTTTCGCATTTTTGGATTGTCTACAAGTATTGTTAACAGATTCTCGTGTTTGACACATGAGAATTGCTCAGGGTGATGAGCAATTTTAGATATCACAAGGCACTTCAACAGTGTATACAAAGATACGGACATTTTTTAAAAGCCTGCCACTCTTGGAACTGCGAATGATAAGGAAGGGTAGTCAAGCATATCTGGAGAGCTCTTAATTTGACGTTATCTAGAGGGAAACTTTCAAAGATCTTTTAAAAATGTGTTATTAAGAATTCCTTTAGATCCCTCTATGCTTGAAAAATTCTCACTCATCTTGTAAGTGGCTGCAGCTTTTGTTAGCAGGGTTTTCTTTCTTTTTCTTCCACATCAAGCGTAGGATGTGCTTTTTTGAATTAACAAAAAGTTGATCTATTTGTTAGCAGAGCAGTTGGCTGGGAGAAACTAAATCAACCCTGCAATTTCAGTAGACTCAAATGCAAGGATCTATGGCTCTCAGCTCAGTTTGCATCTAAAAAGACCTACCTAACTGCCCTGTTAGATGAGATGATCAACATTCATCAAGTTTATTTTTCTGTTCTTCGAAATAAAAAAAAAGATTTTTATTGGTTTCTAAACTACAAAGTCCAGTTCTTTTTAATTATTACTCAGACAGAAATTACATCAAATATTTGGTGATTTTTATGAATGTTATATCTTATTCCACTCTCATCATATTTTGAGATAAGAAGCAATTTGGACTGTACCTAATTGTGGCTAAACTATGATGATACATTTTACCATAACCTTTCTTCATATTTTTGTCACTTCTGTTATTTTCTATTTTCCATTTGCACTCCAGTATCTATTAAAAATTTCAAATGCCAAATGCACACAACAGATTATTCTCTAGGCTAAAAGAATATAAAGCTATCATAATCATTGATAGCTCAAGTCTAAGAATATTGAAATTGAATTCTTATTTACATGGCAGTGATCTGTTTCTGAAAATTACCAGATTTTCCGTGTCTGAACTGTATGGGATTTGAGTCAACAATATTTATATTGTTACAGGTGGCCTTCTGTAAACATCTCCAATTATACATGACTGCATTTAACATATTCCAAAGAGAAATAGTTAACATCATCATGTCAATTTGATTCCAGAAATATATCTATCCACGTAACAGCAACATTTACATGTACAGTAGTGGCCAAAATTGATTGAATCCCTTTAGGAAAAGTGTGATTTTGAGGTTTGATGGCTAGCAACCACCTTTTTTAGAGTTTCAAGATAATCATATTTCACTGCTGGAATGGCCTGGGAATAGCCCAGACCTTAACCCAATTGAAAATCTATGGAACCAACTAAAGAAACTTGTTAGCAGAAGTGATCCAGCAATAAAACCCAGTTAATAGAAGCAATCATTCAATCTTGGTTTCACATTATAATAACTGCAGAACTAAAAGAATTGATTCACTCCATGGGAAGAAGTTGTAAGGCCATAATTCATGCTAAAGGTTACCCAACTAAGTATTAACTGACGTGATAATTTTTGTATATCTTGTTTTTTCTATGGTGATAATTTTTGTATATCTCATTTTTTCTACATGTTTCACTTTTCTTCTTTATACTGTAACTGCTATTCTAATAGCAAATCCTTCATAAAAGTTATTGCATTACATTCTTGATTAAATTATCTTTCTAATGATATATAATTTTATGGTACTATTCCAAAAAAAATGGTGTTATTAGCTAGTTCTAGAAAAGACACTTTTCTCAAAAGGTTTCCACAATTTTGGCCACTGTATGTGTACACTGTATACTGTACACTGTATATGTTTGTATTTAATGATTGAAGCAATTTTTAAACTATGCAGATGTTGATTATGACATATAGCAGAAGATATTACAAAATATTTCTAATAAAGATTTTGTAACTACAGTATTTGTTCAACGTAATAAAGCCAAAAAAAATCTTTACTTGGAGAAAGGAGAATATTTTATTTTATTTATTTATTTGTTCAACTTGTATGCCACCTTTCTCCGAAGACTCAAGGCGGCTTACAATGCATTTAAAGACCATATATAAAACATTAAAAGTTAAACCATTAAAAACAATTAAAACCCATTCACACCATTCATGGCCAGATATCTCCAGATCACAACAGTGAGATCAACGGCCCCAGGCCTGCCAGAAGAGCCAGGTCTTCACCGCTTTTCGGAAGACCAATAGGGTGGGGATGGTCGGGACCTCAGGAGGTAACTGGTTCCAGAGAGCTGGGGCAGCCACAGAGAAGACCCTCCCCCACGGGCCCGCCAGCCAACATTGTTTAGCTGACGGGACCCTGAGGAGACCAATTCTGTGAGATCTTACTAGTCGCTGGAGCTATGCGGTAGAAGGCGGTCTTGAAGATACATTTAATAGTAGAATGCCCTCTTAAAATAATATAAGCACTATTGTAGAAGAGGCATTGTCAAAATGTCTAATTTAAATGGTGGCTTGACTATGTATATTCATTCATCCATAAATTTTTCACAATAATAAAGATTACAACTGTAGGAGAGCCAACATTTATACAGTATTCATTTCCTGGCTCTCCTTGAAGTGGTTTAGTCCACATAAGTTAAGTTCTGCTGAAACAATCTTATTTGGAAAATTCCTACTTAATCTTAAACCTGGTTTCTCACCTGCAGCCCATTTCACCATATTAGTTTGTACTATAATGAAAAATTTAGTTGTTTGTATAGAAAGTGAAGGGCAGGCATTCTAGAAAATTTTGAATTGGATAAGCTTCTTGAAATTGCTCTATGCAAATTAAACGAATTTATACAACAAAATTATAGAATAAGAAAGTGCCCTGATACTTAAGGAATGTTTTAACTTAATAGAGTGGCCCCCTGAACTAAATGATGTTAAATGCATCTGGTAAGACCTAAGAAATAGAATTTCCCATTGCAGTGGTTACCCTACGGAGTAGATACCCCACTCCCAAGATATGGAGGAACCCCCTACCCTCCTTGTTTCCTTGACAGCTGTTAAAACTGAGCTTTTCCCCCATATGTTGGGTCAGGATCAGTAGTGGGATTCAAATCCCGGCACTACCGGTTCTCTATTGGGAGCGTGCGGGTGTGTGCGCTCGCTTTGCCAGCATGTAGCACTTCTGCGCATGCGCAGAGTGTTTTTGATGACATCTGGGTGGGTGAGCAGAGCCTCCCGCCACCGCCGTTACAGGTTCGTCTGAACCGGGGCAAACCGATAGCCACCCACCCCTGGTCAGGATAGGAGATGAACTCAGCATTTGTGTTCTTGAGGTATGGAGAGTTATGGCACCTGGTGGCATGCAAGAATTTTTAATTTCACTGTATTTTTTGTTACTTGTAGATTTGATTGGTTACCCATATTTTATATAATATGAGGCATATACAGATAGTCCTTGACTTACACACATTCATTTAGTGACCATTCGAAGTTACCACAGCACTGATAAAAGTGACTGTTTTTCACGCTTATGACCGTTGTAACATCTCCATGGTCACGTGATCAAAATTTGGACAATTGATTCATATTTATGATGGTTGCAATGTACCGTGGTCATGTGATATCAGTACATTTGTGATCTACTGACAAGCAAAGTCAATGGGGAAGCCAGATTCGCTTAACAACCTTAACAACTAGATTGATTCACTTAACAACTGGGGCAAAAAAAAGTTGTAAAATGGGACAAAACTGACTTAACTGTCTCAGTAAAGCTTAATTAAGGCCGTAAGTCGAGGACGATTTCTACAACAAGTACAAGAAAACAAGTAACAGAATAGACATCGACACATGAAAAAAATTGGCACAAAAAAAGGATATAAATTGGCAAAACATAGCCATAAACACATAGAATGATTACATGTAATTGGGAACAGTGAGACAGGATGGCAGGCACACTGGTGTGCTTATTGTTTGTTTAATAATTAAAAACAAGTATTCCTATTATAATTACTGTAATAAAATCATGTTTTGGTCATTTTATTTTCTTGACTGATTGAACAAATCCATGGCATACACATTTCTCTCACCCATAGGCTACAAATTAAATTCTCTTACTGCTTTTGTATAAAGGAACTATAGAAGCAGTTTCACTTCCATTTCCACAAAACTTGCTTACATAAGTAGTTTGTGTGTAGAATAGGGACAAAAAAGTGTCCACATTAAAGGTTTTTGGCAAATGTTACAGCAACAGAAGTGTATATATTTGAATAAAAATAATTTTACAGCAAAAGCTTTCGAATCATTTGATATAAACGAACAAGAATATTAGCTACATAATGGGCTTGAGCAACGTATTTTCTGAGAGTCTTTGCTTTGTTGTTGCTATAGTATATACAGTGATAACTCTAATGAATTATATTAGATTAGCATGTTGTTTAATGCTGTTAACATCATATAGGAAGAAAAGGGTAATGAGGGCATCTTTAATAAATTCAAATGTATCGCATCTCGTTTTTGACCAAGCAACCACTTCTGTTTTTGTATGGAAAGTTGTTTTGCCAAATATGGGTGGAAATTATGTTGCAGCAAATTGGTCCTTGTAAAATGTCATCTTCCTTTCTAACGTGGAAACATATTTTAATTCACAGACTTGGCCGTTTGTGGTTTCAGGAAGACCAGAATCCGACACCAAAGATGTCCCAACAGCCAGCAGATTATGTGGAACTACAGCTTAGTTAAAGACTGCTCTTGCTGGATGTGCTTACCAAATTACATTGTCTTCTATCGACCAAAGCAAACTGAAACAATGAAAAACAATTACACTGTGTTTAAATCCTCCATTTCTTCAGTTGGAAAGAAAACTGCACTTAAAATGTAACGTGTAACATGAAGTAGGAAGGAGAGCTCTCCAAATTTCAGATAAAATGGTAGCTTTAAAAAGGCATTTTTGCATCATTTTCTAAAGAACAGTTCTAAAACTTTTTGACTAACAAAAGACATGGAGGCGGATAACTATTAAAATTAATAGCATGAACCAAATGATAGGTTATATGAAGTAACCTCAAACAGTGTTATTTGTATACCAAAGGAAAATAGTATTCTAGACTAGTCCCTAACACAAATTTATAATATATTTGATCTTATGTTCTTGGCAGCTACGCAATAGTAAGACTACTTCTGTCACCTTAGACAGTTTCTTTTTAAAAATCAAAGACAAAAAGATTGTACCTGGTTGTTCCTTCATGGTCTATTTCACAAAAGTGTTACATCAGATTACTTGTGTTTAAAACAAGTGTATACACAGCCAGGCAATTTGTAGGCCATGGATCGAAGTCATAGGCATATTCTTGTTAAATTGAAAAAATTGATTTTACTCCTGTACTGTACTACAGAGTTTGAAATGTGAGCTTGCCTTATTCTGAAATAAGCTTTTTATTTATGTCTAGGATAGTTATATGTAAGTTGGCCTTTTATATCACAAGTGTTTTGTCTTGAGCTTTTCTGGTCCTATAGAATGTTAACTTTATACTGTTCTATATGCAAACATTATTATAAATGTAAATAATTATATTTTTATACATTATATTAAAACCTTGATTGCAATAATATTTTGAGTGGTTGGTGATAGCTGGATAAAAATCAATACTTTTTAATGTTTATATATGACAATGGATCTGTTTACAACTGAGTCATGGAGTTTTTTCCTCTTTCTCCCTTACTTAATTCTCTTTCTTTTAATGGTAGCTCTCGGATATAAACAGGGAATAGAGAGCATTCTGGAATGGTGTTTCATGGAAAATACAGAATTTTTCTTGATGACAAAATTAACATTTTATGAGAAAAGAAGTTTGACACTACTGTAATTTTGCTGTGAGCCACTTGAATACAAGCAGCATAAAATCAATGCACAAACACACAAATGGATATTATATTATATTCCTAAGCAACTTTTTTTTTTTTTACAGAAGCCATTCTTTATGATAGATGGTGAGAATTTCAGACCTTTTAAGTACTCTATAGTGGGATTTCCCCTGCAAGCAGGGGACAGTATGAACAATTGTTACGAGATGTTGGGTATTGCAGTTCAGCAATAATTGAATGACCACAAGAATCCTATGTCTCAACAGGAATAAATCAGTTGTAATTGTGGTTTAAGTTAAGGGATGAATAATATAGATTCAATTACAGCATAAAATATAATGGGAATGAAGCTGTTTTAAATATATCTTAATACTTTAAATGGTTTTGAAGTTCCAACTTTACTTTATGAAGACTAACTGAACTAATGTTTTCCAGAAGGTACTTTAGGAATATAATGTAGGTTACAGGTAAGCTTACCAAGTTAAGCATTTCATAGATGGAAAGGCCACATAAAATATTTTTCTTTTATTCACTAGAGCTTCAAATTGGAGGTACAAAAAGATAGAAAAACACTAGATGAGATAAAAGATAGAGCATATATGCTTTGTAGTATTTAAGGCACCAGACTAGATACAAGGCAAACAAGAATTTTAGTTATATCTTCAGCACAAAGTCAGTTTGTCGACTAGTCACTCTCTCTCAAGAGAGGCAAAAGAAGAGAGGCGCAAGAAGGCAAAAGGCAAATAACTTCTGAAATCTTGCCAAAGAAACTTCAGGCATTTGTTGAATCCTGGCGAGGCAGATGCCAGGATTCAACAATGAGTTGAAGGTAGATTCCTGCTCCCTCCCCTCCCAAATAACCACTATATAAAACAATTACTTATACACCTTGGCTATTCCCTGGGCCTGAACCCACATGCAACTGGTTAATAAATTTTAGAGATTGGAAAAAGAAGTTAAAGAATGAAATGGTTCTACTTGTAAAACTCAGACAAAAAGTTTTGAATGCCTAATAAGTTCCAGTGAGAAGGAGAAAGAAGTAGGCTGGAAAACAATCAGACTCTTGATTAGGTTAATAAACGTATTTAAAACATTTAATTCATTTAAATAGTTTGTCATTTCTGGGTGGTAGAGGAATAACTGCATTTCATAGAATTACCTGCATAGGAATTACAATACCCTTTCCCCTTTCTTTAAACACGAGCCTTTTCAATAATTTGCTGTAGATAAATTTAAATGCAACAAGAACAAAGGAACTAAGGCAGTTTAGATAGCAGTTTGCTAACTGGCTCCATGTGTGGTTCATAGTTCTATGAAGTATAACTATATTTTCATCATAATATCAAAGATTAAACATTCTCCTTTTACATATCACATCAGCCTAAATAATGCAATATATTTCTTAATTCACTTAATACAGAATAGAGTATTTTATGTGGCTATGTTGTGTAACTACTTTATTCCCATAAGTAACAAGAGGAACACATGTTCATATTCTATAATTCAAGGACATTTCTTTAACAAATTTTAGGAACTGAAATTAAGTCTTATGAAACAAGAAAAAGGCTGTTTAGGGAAGACAAAAATGAAAGTTTATGATAGCCTTCATCTCCAGAATACAGATCATCAGATAGTGAGTATTTTTAATTGTTCATTGGTGGAAATAGTTTCCAAGGAAATGGTGAACTCTCTGTAATGTTTAGAACAGTGATGGCTAACCTTTTTTTCCTCGGGTGCCCACACCCATAATGCAATGCTCCTCGCGCACCATGCAATCCACACATGCACACGTGACCCCCCGCGCTCCCTTCACATGTGCGCCCAACCCTCATACCCCCCATTTTGGGCTTAGGAGGCTTCCCTGAAGCCTCCGGAGGCCGGAACTGGCCCGTTTCCGGACTTCCAGTACTTTTGGTAGGCCCGTTTGTCGCCCTCCCCAGGCTCGGTAGGCTTTCCTGGAGCCTCTGGGAGGACAAAAACGGCCTCCCCCAGCCCTCCGGAGGCCAAACAGCCCATTTCTGGACTTCTGGTACTTCTGGTAGGCCCGTTTTTCGTCCTCCCAGAGTCTCCGTGCGAGCCCTGTACTTACCTGGCATCCAAAATGGCCTGCGTGGAAACTCCTGGGAGGGGAGGGTGTGGGCTGGGCCAGCTGAAAATCAACTGGCTGGCAGGAGGCGCGTGCACATGTGCGGTGAGGCTGACCTAGGGCAACAAGTCATATGCTTGCAGAGATGGCTCCGTGTGCCACCTGTGGCACGCGTGCAATAGGTTCGCCATCATGGGTATAGAAGAAGGCCCAAAACAGATACCTATTTATTCCTGGATTCCTACACAGAGCACTGGGCTGGATTTAGCCTCAATAGCGCAGTCTACTAGCATAATTCCAAGCTGCCACCTACTTGTCTGTTGTAAAAAATGAATGTTTGAACATCTGAACATGTTTTATCTTTAAAACTTTTCTTGTCCAAAAAACTCTAAATGTATACATATTATTTCATCTTCAATTACAGAGTTTTAAAAAATTGCAAACATATTGCTTGTACTGTAAGTTAGCAAGACTGATTTTCACAATCAAAATTGAATGTTTGAACCTCTGGCAATGGTTAACATTGTTCGTTATTCATTTTTTTGAAGATCAATTATATTAACATTATTTAAGATTTTAAAAAATCATGAAAAATTAAGTTAAAACCATGCATGCTTGAAAAAATAGAAAGCTGAGATGAAATGTTGGGGACCCCACCCTCCACTGCTCCTACCAAGAATTGCAATCAATCAAGATTCCTCTTCCCAGGTAGGTCTACCGTTGTCTGAGGGTCATTCCTAGTAGCTTCCATTTGATCTAGGGAACGATATACAGCCAAAAATCCATGTACAAACAATTGCTTAATTAAGCCAAACTTAATTAAAGTTAACTAAATCAAAAACAAGAACAACCAACATCAAAGAAAAGTTTAAACCCAGACAATATTGAGATGTCTCTTTTATATACTGTATATTAAAAATTCAAAAACAAAAGAAATGGCACCCACAATGCTGCTAATATCAGTAAGCAAAATGAATAGAGCAGAGCACAGCACAGCAGAGCACAGCAGAGCATCGCGGAATGGAACAGAACGGAACGGAACAACAGAACAGAACAGAACAACAACAGAACAGAATAGCTTTATTGGCCAACTGTGATTGGACACACAAGGAATTTTTTCCAGTGCATAAGCTTTCAGTGTACATACAAACAAGAAAGTAATATAATCATAAGATATTAATAAGATAGTAGAAGGATAATAGTAATAGTCATATTACATGGGTAAATATCCTTAGACATAAGACTGTACTATGGTAATTAGGTGTTCAGCAGAGTGATCAGTTAAAATGGGCATTTATATAATAGTTGTTTATAAATAATAAATGTTACATAATATTCATTATATAATATTTCATGTTCTATATATTACTTTTATCACAGTACTGTTTTAAAAAATGGGAGTAGCCCAGAGAAATGTCACTGGGCTACTCCCAGTGACATATCTAAATGTCACTGGGCTATATCTAAATTGTCACTGTTCTCTTTTTCAGGTCAAAAAAGGCTAAACTTAATCATGACTTGTAAATTAAAAGCAAGTTATGTATTCTCAAAATTATTATTTTAAACTAATTAATTTTTTTGTTGATATCAGCTTATTTTAAAATAAGAATTTCCCCAAGGACATAGGTTTATCTTGGGACCATTTACAATTTTTAATAATTTCCCTGTATGAAATATGCAAGTTGTTTCTAGCAATAGAATGCAGGTTTTGCCACCTGTTCACACAAACCACGGACTGTATTTTTTTTTTCTTTTTAAAGTTTCCCCTCTCAGTTCATGTTGGTGATTTTGGTTATTGATTTCTTCCTCTAGCATAGAGTTTCCCAAAAACTGAGGTGAGCTACCTGGTTTAAAGACAGGTCAGTCTACATGAGCGGTATTCCCCCTTATTTTTCTGTGTCTTGTTTTGCTCCATGAAAGAAAGTTTTTATCATAAAGCAACTCTTAAGAGCTGTGTATTGAAATACAGTGATACAGAATGACCCAGAGGTGGGTTTCAGCAGGTTCCGACCAGTTCTGGAGAACTGGTAGCGGAAATTTTGAGTAGTTCGGAGAACCGGTAGTAAAAATTCTGACTGGCCCTGCCCCCATCTATTCTCTGCCTCCCAAGTCCCAGCTGATCAGGAGGAAATGGTGATTTTGCAGTAACTTTTCCCTGGATTGGGGAGGGGAATGGAGATTTTACAGTATCCTTCCCCTGCCACGCCCATCAAGCCACGTCTACCAAGCCATGCCACACCCACCAAGCCACACCCACAGAATTTTTGAAACCCACCACTGGAATGACCATAGACTTGTGGAAAAAACTATAGTGATTCCACAAATCATGACAGCAATCATGTAAATGACATAATTTATGTCAGTCTCACCACATGGCTGATGAAAATTATATCATTGAAATCACTTGTACAATTATGCCATTATTCATGAAGTATCAGTTGTACCCTGCTTTGCCCCCCCCATCAAATGGTCTACTACTACTACTACTACTACTACTACTACTACTACTACTACTGGTACTATTATTTTTAATATTCTGTAAGAAACAATAAGAAACAAGAATAGAAGACAACAGTGCAGAATAATAATGTCAACATTCAATCATATTATATATAACACTCTAGTTTTTAAACATGTAATGCATATTTTGGATATGTGCCAAACTGTTATGAAAAAAACACTGCAATTTTGAAAGGCAACAAGCGT